CTCGTTCAGCAACATTCACAGTCCTGATGAACCACAGATGTTGCCAGCCAGATGAGAATCCCAATTTATGGAGATGCAAAGTGTTCTGAGAAATTAAAGCCAGATTTTGTTCTCATATATGCTCATACAGCTCTCACTGAAGTTAATGGGAGTATAATGTACTTATCTGAAGACTGAGTTTGGTCCTTGACCTAATGCAAGCTGCTGGGATTTAATGGCTGTGATTCAACAAGGTATTTAATGTGCGCTTAACTTTAAATCCAGTCACATCAATTTCAATGGGACTGCCAATTTACTTAAAGTTAGGAAGGCACTTAAGTACCTTGCTGAATTGGGATCCGAATGCTGTTAAATTTCCCAGACTTAAACTAAAATTAAAATGATGTAGTGATAGGCAATTACACAATACATATAGCTGAGAAGAGGTGTTACAATAGATTGAAAAGTATGTGGAGAGGGGAGCTTACATTTTTTTATTTTAGTAAGTATGTTACAAGAAAACATGTAAAGTATTACTTAAACTTTAAATGCAATCCCAATCATACATTACATGTTCTATAATGGGAGATTAGGTCTCCTCCTTCTTGACTTTGGATTGTCTGAAGTCTTGTTCCATTTTTTCATAAAGTAATGTAATATTTGCCCTTAGAGATAATTTTTCTTCTAGTGGCAAAAACAAACAAAAAACAACCATCTCTATTCAGGTTCGTTCAGCTACTATTCTGGTTTTGTTATGTTTTCAGGATGAAACCATGTTGTTCATATGCATAGTTCCAGGCATTCTAAGCACAGCCAGCATAAATGATGTGCCATCTCATGAATTTCTGAAATAAAAAGGAAATCACCTTTTCTGTTTCAGGTTATAGGATTACTAGATGTTTTTACACCTGCAACTTCAATAGAAAATTTTAATGAAGTGTAAGTAAAATTTTAACATCAGTGTGACTAATTGGTAAGCTATGAAGACAGACGCTGTGATATTCCTGGAAAACTGACACACACTTTTCTAGTCTAGCTGCAGCCAAAGTGAGCTTTGAGAGACTGAAACATGCCTTTGGTTCCCTTTTCAAAAAAGGGGGAATGGGACTCTACCCAGGGAATGGGATTTTATTGCCTGACATGTTGTTTGATACTGTATGTTCCTCTAAATTTTTAGTATACAGGCAGTCCCCGAGTTACGCGGATCCGACTTGTGTTGGATCCGCAGTTACGAACGGGGCTTTTCTCGCCCCGGAGGACGGGAGAGGCGGGACGCCCAGATGAGCTGCGGTCCCGCCGCCGGGGCCGAGAAAAGCTGCTCCGCGTCTCCCTGGTCTGCTGGGGGAGGGAGGGGGGGCGCGCAGCTAGAGTCCCCTCCCCCCCAGTAGACCAGGCTTTTCTGTCCACGACGCCTGGGGTAGAGCAGCTGGGGCACTGCTGGGTTGGTCCCACAGCGCCGCTCATCGGCGCTACTGGACCAACCGGCCAGCACCCCAGCTGCTCTGCCCCAGGCCGTCCCCCCACCCCGCC